AATAGTGGGTTTGGTTTATGTAGTTTGTTTAGATTTACTGTTGTTCAACGGTTTGTCTATCACCTGTTCCAACGTTCGCTTGAAATTGATACGGCGCCAAGCTCAGCAAGGCAGCTCCCATTTTTCCACTAGGCCTCCGGACCAAATATATTGACAACCGCCCCAGCCAGCCAGCGGCTTCGAGCGGGTAAAACCGGCGAACGGTCGGTGCCGAGTCAGTGCCGATGGTCCCGGTGCCTCCCGTCCAAGAGAAGGTGCATGGCAAAAGTGGAAGGGGTCCAGTTAAGCAAAATGTAGCCTGTAAACCATGCACATATTATATAACCCCATTCAGAGGTTTTACCATCGAAATGAGTATTCATTCATCAACATCTTACAGTCTCATCTTCCCTTCCACCTCGCCCTCTGTCGCTTTCTCGCTCGCTCGCATTCTCGCTCGCCTCAAAGGAGCAGTGTCGAGCGGAGGACGTGGCCGTGCCTCGGATCGACGGCATCGACGGCGACCGAGGGTGCCGAGCGCCGAGCGCCGGCGAAGTCACCAGGCCACCAGGCCCCTAATGTGTCCGACTTGTGAGCCCACTAGACTCTCCCGGTTCTTCTCCAAAGAACGATAGATGTTTGTTTTGCTCGATGGATGTTTGATTCGCTTTTGGGGGACAAGTTCAGAGACCCATGGGGAGACCGCGCTCGGTCCTACCCAGTCGACGGCACTTCGCCGCACGCGCAGGCGACTCCCCTCCAAGACCGAACCGAGTTCAGCCATGCAGCCATTGCGGAGGTCCTAACACGGGACAAAGCGACCGTGGTGCAAAGGTTGTCAAAAAGAAACCAATTGGTCTTCAATCTAAGGTCACATGACCAGGTCAATCCGACCCAATATTGAATGTCAAACAGTTATGTTATATACACCTATTAGGATATCGTAAGATATATAGAATATATATATATATTATATAGATATGTATGTATATGTAGATACTATCCAAACTCCCTCATTCTTCTTTTCATTTGAGGGGTGATGAACATTCAGCCGGACGAACAGGTTCTCCGTCCCACCAGATGTGTATTTGTATACCCAGCAAAGAATCGATTGGTCGTGCAACACAAGTCCAAGCTTGCAAGCGCAGGTCCAAAAGCGGTGCTTGCTTCCGAACTGTGGCGTGTTTTCGTAAACACCAGAAATACCAGCACCACCCAGTTCGGGTGGTTGATAGACCCCGTTGAAGATGTATTTTCTATCCAATAACCACCCGAACTGAATGCTGGAAGATCCTTCAATGCGGAGACACCCTTACGTGAACTGAGCTACACACCCCGGGCCTATTGATCAAATGTCTCCAAGTAAAGGAAACTCCCTGGACCATCCAGTCGGGGTGCCCTGTCTGGAAGCCTATACGATGGTAGTGTAGGGTAGTCCAGCCAGGACACCCAGACTGGATGGTCCTGGTCCAAGGGCATCATTCTTTATGGAAAAAATGGTGACCCAGTATAAAACATTACTAATTACCCAAATCCAGAACGATGCCAGAACCGATTTGAGCCAGAGTCGAAGCACCGAAGATCTCTTCGCGCCGCATCGCGCTGAGATCAACCTGTCCAAATGGATGTGGCCTTGTCTCGTTGAATCGCCCAAATGAACAACAAAACGCCTCCAAGAGGGAAGTGCATGGCCTGGCCTAGAAGTACCTGACCCAACGGAAGCTGGACCTGACCCGACCTGCCGCTCACCCTGAAATCTCCTGCAAGCGCTGTGCGTAGTGGCGCTGGATGTCCTGGATGCATTGTTGATCATTGTGTCCAAATGCAGCTCCTATCCTTGAACTGAACAAGTTTGTCCTGATTTTCTGTGCTGCTTCCTACTCAGAAGCTCTTCAGTTGTCAAGACAAGTAACAACACCCTCATCTTCCGTCCTCATTGGCAGTAAGTCGTCCACGTTCGCACGAATTCTCGAGACTTCGCACGAACCGCACCAGTCCACCCAGGCGCCTTTTGCAGGGAGCGCACGGGAGCTTGAAACTGGGCCCTCACAGCGGCTTTGTCGACGGATCGTCGACGGCTCAAGCACCTTCATCCGATGCTTTACGCGGTTTCTGGTCATGGCGCTCGGTTCTCCAAATACTCCGATGAAAACGTCCAGAAATGGAACATGGGAACCTGTTTCTGGAAAGGAGTCTTGCAGGAGCCCCTTTTTTTTCACTTCCATGTTCGTGAGTCATGTTCAACCCACCCAGACATGGAAAAACCTCTCACGTATGGTTGACATACTGGTTGACAATATGACCAAACGTCTACATGACTTTTCTCCAACATCTGGACACAGTGGAATTCAGAATAACACTTTGTTACGATGACAGGGTTCCAGGAACGTGTTTGGCTTCAGAAACCAAGCAACACCTGGTCCTGTACCCTGTTGAGTAGTGCGCATGATGAACTGATGAACTCAAGTAAAATGAGGTCTTTGACCTGTAGGTGGAGGTCATGCGAAACACTTGCCATGGTTTCGTCGTTTGTCCTCCTGCAAGAATTGAAGAATCAGGTTTGAGAGAACGGCAGGTACCATGTGTCCGAAAAGCAAAGCAGGAGGCAACACGAAGCCTGAAAGCAAACAGCCATGGTGTGGATCATCAGCGTGTCATGGGAAACCCATCAAAACCTCTTTGGAACACCATCAACTTGGTGTATATACAGTATGTGTACGTCGAATCGTAGAAGGTAAATGCTTCAGTTCAATGGGTCTCAAACAAAAGGACACGACAAATAACGAAAAAGTGAACACATTTTCCCAACGCGCACTCCTTCTCATAGAATGGGTTCAGTGCCCTGAAACATGTTTTCAGGTCTTCACTCCGCCCTCCGACCCTGAGACCCGCTGATCCATGGTCTCCCATGATGGGCTGTCGTTCGGCACTGAGCCACCGGACTCTCTGTCTCGCTCCGGATCTGGGTGCACCTCAGCAATCAAAGTCAAATGTGACACTCGGTCCCATGCACCTCACCAAACACGCTTCCAGCGATGCTCGGTCCCCATGCCCTTCCGAACACCCCCCGCGGGGTTTGGAGGTCTTAAGGGAGCCTGGAGAGTTCTCCTTCAGGTGGACGTCCAACAGCCTGGCAAATTGGTGGGGTCCCTAAGACCGAGTTGTCTCTACTTCATCCACCACGATGTGCGATCACAGCACTTTTCGAACACCGATGTAAGTCCCTCCAGACAGTGGAGGAGACGGCAAGAGCGGTGAGACAGCAAGTCACGCGTTTCTCACGAGGCGGCCACGGCGAGGTCGAACGTGGCACATCAAGTCACTCAAGCAAGACACATTGAAATGATTGTGTGTTGTTGAGTTTCTGGACACATTATTTAACAATAATGATGGGGTATGATTGGGTTGCATGGCAGCGGGTCAAAACCAGCATACCGTAAGCTTCACCGACCGAGCGAACAAATGGAATCATGACTCGATCTGGTGTGTTCCCCGTCGTCACTCCGAACGGTCTTGAGCTGGTTGATATTCTATGGATATGAACCCCGGCGAACCAACAGCTCCTGAAACCAACCAACGGCTAGAAGACCAAAAAGCCTTCGCCTGAGACTCGGACCTGAGACTGTGTTAATGTTGTTTGTTTGTTTGTCGGACTCACGTCACTCGGACTGCATTCAATCGGTTGGATCGACATCTGAGATACTGTCTCAAGCATGTCGAATGTGTGTGTTTCGTACTGGTCAAGCAATGACGGGTCTGTGTGTCGGCCCGCGTCCGAAGCAGAAATGTGATTTATATACGTACTAATTTACTATGCCGCGCACCAAATTCGCTCACCTTCAGTTATGGTCAATAATGAATGCCTTAGTGCTGAAACTCATAAGTATATATAAGTAAGACTGAATGGAAGAATTGTTCAATTAACGTACGAATTCTGTTCAGCAAATTGGAGGGTTCCAGTCAAACGAAACTTGCCCTTAACTTCAGCCCTAGAACCTGAGTGAACCCCCTTTCTTGAGTACAAATCATCCATCAAATTGGCAAGCATCTAATAAAACATGGGTCATGTCTGATCTACATGCACACCATGTATCTATAGCCAATGGCCTACATCCCAACAACCTCACTCTCGTCCACCTATCAACGACCTCGCCGTGCTGCTCCAAAGGCAAGAGTCTTGGGCCTAAAGAACAAAGTGATCAGAGTGTTTTCTTCTTGTTCGTCTGTGTCTATGGATGTCTATGATCATGCACGTTACAGTAGTAACCTCGGTGCTTCATGTTGTCCAATTCAAACCGACCCGAATCGACCGAATTGGGCCCCTGGGTTGTCGACCCCAATACAGAGTTGACCATTTCGAATAGGTTTGTGTGAAACGAAGTCCAATGTCAACCCTTTCTGCATCAGAAAAAAAAAACAGGATATCACAGGATGCATCACCATGAAAGTGCGCACATCTCAATTGTTGGTCGTCCATGAAAGTGGGCTCACTGTGAAATCCGGACTCTTCCAGACGGAAATCATTTGTCGGGTCGGCATAGTTCTTGCTTCCCCACAAACAACGTAAAAACATATTGGTACAGTCAGTCCCTCCAATAGAGTAATGAGTAATGTGATCAATCTGAGGAGAACTCTTTTGGTGAGTCAAGCATGTAATGTATGACTATATATATATATCCACGTTAGTCCATGTTACCCTCTATCCGGCAAACATGCAGTCTGCACATCCGCTCTTGTTTAACATATAACGTGTAAAACAGTTTCCACTCCTCTCTTGAGGCCTACTTTCCACGGATATAAGGGTAGCATGGGGTTAAGTGTATTTATTTATCTTTTACTACCTATTGATAATATGACGAACATATTCCAGTCATGATAGGAAGGGCATCATATGATGTCCCACTATCCTATCATGTCTTACCTGTTACTTGAATGCTGAACATGACTTCACCTTCAAACAACCACCGCCCAAGCTCGTGCCGCGTCTGCCAGGACATGGCGATCCCGGTGAGAGTCGTCCCTCATCGCATGAGATGTGTGAGGAAGTCGTTCTGCCGGGGCCATTCCTGGTGGTCGAGCTGCTAGGTGGGCAGCGAAGGCGGATCGGCTGAGTGGAGTCCAAGGGCTGGGCTAGGAGGATTGGCCATTGGGGTGGAAATATAACTGCTTGAACAGATCCCCACAGGCTCTAGACTCTAGACCCTGAGATCCTGAAGTGACTCAAGTTCCATGAAACACCGATGTTCCACTTTCTGGGTGACATCATGTGACATCCCCCTTGGTCGGCGAGGGCTTCACCATGGTGAGGGAGGCAGCAAGATCAAGCAAAAGGGAGGCCTTCCATGGCCGTGCATATTGTAGATATATGATGACCAGTCAACCAAAATCCGGGCGGTCCGGATATTCCACTTGATCCAAGCGGCTCTGAACTGATGTGGAGAGATGGGCTCGTGCTGTGGGCCTCTCCTGAGTGCGGCGACTAGCGAGGAAGCTTGAGAAAAACATACCCTTGACTTGAACCGATGAAGCTTATGGTTTCATGTCATTCACGTTCAATGAACGCACGGAGGTCTGATCGAGGGCAGAACCCACACCCAGTTCACCAGAAGGAAGGACTCACACGACCGTGTCTCACTGTTCAAAAGAGAAGGACCTCCTGATGTCCGATTCTGAAAGCAGGCCTGCTTGCCGAAATTGCCTCAAATGGAAGAGCATCATGACCTGACATATATCATGACCCTACTTAAAACAAAAAATGAATAGAAAACATTTAGCTGCACGTTTGAAGGTACTGGGGGTAGACGTGTGGTAGACGTGTACGGAACCAGGAACCTTTCAAGTCTTGTTGGTCGAAAGGAAGTAGACAAGATAAAACACGCCTTTGGCAAGGGCGTCCTTCTCATATTTGGATCAAAATGGGTATGCAAAACGGTCAGCAAAACGGTCTAAGTGTTTTGGAAATCTGTTGGGTGACACGTCGACTTCAACGGAGAGGCCGAGGAGCTCGGGACTGGCGAAGCCACTCTCATTCTGCCGGCCGTTCTGGCGCTGGTACCTGGTCGTAGCAAAAGCAGGTGTTGGGGAACGCACCAAGGCACCAGCATTCCTGGTACCATTCCTGGTGTTGCGGTAGCATTCCTAGTGTTGGGGTGGCGTTGGGAATGCTATGGGGTGGCGGCACCATTTCCATCCGTTCCAACGCACCCGGGAAGCCGGTGCGGTTCCCCGTTGGGTTCGATGAAGTACGTTGCAGAAGACAAAGGGGAGTGTGCATCGCTTGATCAAACCAAACACATCCGTTGTTACACACGAGCATAGATAGCTTACCCCTCAGAGCCTCACCTGCAGTTTGTCCGAGTACGCACCCAGATTCAGGGCATCTCGCATCAGTGACGTGACCGCAAACATCTGCAAACCACACCTTAACACATCCGATGTTGAGACATTCCATTGACCCCAAATCCACCCAAATCCTCATCATCGGATTCGTTCTTTTCACCCCCAAAACCAAGCTCCCCAATGGCAGTGGTGTAGTTGGTATTCGCGAACTCGGGTCGATGAGTCCGTCATGGTCCGTCCAACTCGGCAAACAATGTCCCGTGCCGGTGGAATCTTCTTCCAAGATGCAAATCATCCAAGGCCATCCCGGCAAAGGTCGCCTCAGCCACGACGCAGTCTACACCCGGCGAGATGATTAGAGCTCGCTCGCAGGCTTTCGCGGAGAGCTCGGGGGGGTGTGCTCCAATGCTCGCCCGAACCCGCCGGGATGCCACGGGGTGCTGGTGCGTGTGGGATTTGGTCCATCTTGGATCTTATGAAGGTTCTCCAACTCCAAAACACGCACTAGTCCAACTTATACATGTCCAGCCAGCTTTTGGATGCCTGGGGCCTTCAGCCACCCATGGGCCCTTCAGCCGCCCCTCGTGCCGGACGCGTGTCCGTCTCCACGCGGTCGCGCGAGACGCGCGTCGCGCGGCGCTGCGCGGCGCGGTTGTCGCGGCCGACGGCACGGGGCGACTGGGAATCCCATAGTTCACCTCGTTCATGGGCATCATATAACCTCGAGGCGCCGAGGAGCCCAAACACATGGGGTCTGCCTGCCGTTTCTGGAGGCAAAGCCATGGAAAACCATGGAAAGCCTTGAAAGGAATGTTCAACTGAGTGGTCAAGCGGGGTTAAGTCACATCATGTTGGAAGATATCCAAACTCGTTTATGGCTAGTGTCGTTCATTCAGATGGGGTGCTTCTGTTTGATTTTCAAGAATATCCAGTGGCACTTTGACGCTACGCTATGCATGACTTTATCGAACGTGGGATTGAACTGGTGAGTAATACTACACCATGTTCATGTCCATCGACATCATGGCCCATCTGATTCCATTAGATATCGCGTGCGCTCGAGACATTCGGGAGGGTGCTTGAAGAATGAACAGAAGAACCATATCGCAATGTCTGTCATCTCAACTGCCTCAAGTCTGGCTGGTGCGCCTACCGCCTACCTGGCGTGCTCGATGGGTAATGTAGCAGAATGGGCAAGTATCTTCTGCTTGGCAATTTCAACTCATGAAAAACAAATCGTGTCAGTGGGATTGAACATGAACATCCCAAGCAAAGGTTGAAAATGAAAATCTCTGAAACCATGCTTGAACGCGCCTGGTCCCACTCCCTGAGCTCCCACACCCCCAGCACCCGGCATCCTCTGGGACGCGTCCACGAAGCCGGGGCCGCCTGCCAAACAACCGCTTGGGCCGGTTATATGTCTCATAAGTAGAACAGTATCCGATGTGTTGGGGCATCCATCTTGCAACAGTTTCCAAACATGTTTTGACACTTAAAACAAATGCAGCTATCTCATATCTTGATTCGTATAAATATGTGTGTATCACATTTGGTCTTGAGTGGGGAATACAAACAACCTCTCCACCTTTAATCTCTGTAGTACTTATTGAACATGGTTCAACATCCCATCTTTTTCCAGACCAGACGAAAACACCGCCACGTTCGCCCCCCGATGCGTTCGCCTGGCTGTGCCGCCGCAGGCACCGGCGCCACCGGCACGGCGCGTCCGAAGGCGGGCACAGGCCAAGCTTGATGGCCCACGGGCACCTCGGGCAGCTGACTGCAGCCAGGCTTGGTGGAGGAAGAAACAGATGGGTTTAGTATGGGTGTTGTATTACTTTGAATAGGGGGAGAGGTCCAAACCCAATGGGTAGACAGTAGACTGGCTGGTCCAGTGTCCATCTTCCAGGGGGTCTTTGGGAAGTCTCCCTTTTTTAAGACACACCCATATAGTAGAGGCTGGGTCTATAATCTATTAACCAATCTATTGATTTGGACGGAGGCTATTGCTTTTGCAGGTTTAGATAGCCAAATTCACTACCGCTCTTTACTAAATGAGTCATCGCAGTTGCTCACATGGGGTAAAACAGCCGGGAACCCGGGAGTGGATGGGTCTATCAACCACTGAACCACCCGAGAACCGCGGGGTGGTGCTGGAATTGGATTTCGGTTACTTCGGTTGATAGAGAAGGTGATGTGGCACGTCCTTTTACTCAAAGAATGCATTTTTGGAAATTGACCATTTTTTTGCTGAGAGGAGAATCACCTAAAGTAAACCCCAATTAGCATACCCGAACTACCCCCATTCATGAAGATACCCAGCACCATGTCTTCCTTCCAAACCCAGGATGCTATTCCACCCTCATCCAAAGACTGCCCCACACAGTATCCTGCTGCATTGATCGCTATAGAAGAGTCAATCCGCTTCAGTACCTGCCTTGTTTCATGGGCCCAGTCCCCAGTCCAGACTACCCCCGTCTACTCGTCTCCGTCACGTCCAACACCGTCACGTGCTGGGCACGCCCCACCGGCGTGACGCGCCACACGAGGGACCGGACGTCCAATCCAAAGAGGTTGGTGGGTGGGGTCCGACCAAAATCCCCGAGTTCCCAAGTCCAAAAATATGTTATACCACCCGCAAATGACATAGGATTTCTGTTTTTGGCAGCTCGAAGACTCCTATCTCACTTCCTCTCAGTATAAAACCGATACCGGGTTGTTGGGAATTTGGGTCGAGGGGATAGGGCACGGGTTGAGGGGCATGTTTTCAAACAGGTCGAAGTGATGATAGTAGGACCCTCCACGGCGCCCACCAGACCATCTCTTGGATTTCCAAGTGGCCGGCTGCATCTGTCCATGGCCCTGCCAGGCGGCCGGCTGCATGGCTGGCCCTGCCTGAGGTCCTCAGGTTGATGCGCATGGTTTCGTTGAGGGAGGGAGAGAGAGAGAGAGAGAAAGTGAAGAAAAAAGACATCACTTGCTAAGTGCTAACCCTCACTTGGATGGGATGGAGAGAGAGGTTAGCAAAGGTTGGCAACTGGACCAAAAGGCATCTACAGAAGCATCCAAAACCATTCAGCGCAGCTTCCTGCTTCTTGGTGAACACCTCTCTTAGCTTGGGGTGGTAGGAAGGCACAAGACCGGGCAGCCAAGTGAGAGGGCACCTGCTGCCCGGTCTCCCACCAAGTCTTCGGTGCCCGGACGTGGGTCCGCCAACCAGAACATCAACAGAAACCATTTCATTCACAAAAAACGAAACAAAGTAAGCTGAGCAGCTGAAAGGCACCTCAAACCTCAAGCAGTATGCCAGCTTCCTTCCATCCCTTTCCATCCCAGCAAACCCCCCCTCCACTCTGCCTGGATTGATGGGAGCCCCCAATCCACTGCCCGCGCTCTTGGGCTTCGCCGCCGCCTTCGCAGGTCGTGGCCTCAAAAAACGCGGAGAGTGGGCTGGAGGCCGACGCGGGACCGATCCAACATCCCCACCTCTTCCGCCTCAATTTGGAGCGATTTGGAGCGATGGAAAACGATCCATCACGACCCATACTTACCTGGAGGATCTCTGCTGCTTGTTCGGGGTCAGAAACGCATAATACATCATATTGCAATTTTAATACTGATTATAAACGGACTACGTTACATAGACGTATTGCGACTACGTATATTGAATCCCTTTTGACTGTGTTGCACCGCCGAGACGCTTGTTGCCCTTGGTGCGGTTCTCTCGACGTGCCGCTGCTTTGGAGGCCTTCTCCACGGTGCCCGAGGGCTTCTCTAAGCCTTGGACGCCGAAAGGACCCGAAACGTGCGCTGTTCGACACGTTTCGGAAGCGAAAAAGAGGAGAATCTTACTAAGAATCATTGGACCCGACCACTTCTGGAGGGTTTTGATCCTGCGCAGGGGTTTGGATCCTCAAAACCTTCACCTTTGAGGGTCCTTGATTCTTAGGGGAGAATCTATAAGCATGTGCACAGCTGTTGGGGAGCACGTTGTGTGTGTGTTTCTGCTGGGCGATCTCTGTGACCCTCTGTGACCATCGCCCAGCAGAACGATCCTCGGAGTGGAGCTCTTTTGTTCGTCGGGAGGCCGTGGTGCTGGTAGAGCTGTGCCACCGCATCCAGGGCATTTCCTGCGCAGAAAAACCCACGTCGCGCAAGCCGCTGGCGAGTCGGGCATTGGTTCCACGGGGGAGTGGGTGCAGGTCGCCCACCGGGCAGTGTTCAAAGGTGGCGCACGTCGGAAGTGGTTGAAGTGCTTCCAGGAATCCAATCTGATCAATGGGAAAAGTAGATGGCCTAACCAGATCCAAATCAGTGGTGCGATATTGCGTCTCCTGGTCTCGCCCGTTGGAAGCAATTCCATTTTGGGGAGTGCATTCAACAGGGTAGAAACCCACGGCCATTGGGCAGTCAACCCCGGCATCTGACCTTTATAGCCATTCCGCTGGTAGAGCCGCAAAAAGATACCTCAGGTACAAGTAGCTCCGGCAGTGAGTGAGGCTCTGGCAGAGGCTCCCTATACTTGCAACATCTTGCGACCACTGTTTCGGCACGCACAGTGGTAAGAACATGCATGCACACACAAAAGAAAATAGACGGGTCCGAGTTCCAAAGGGGTGCCCATTGTCCACGGACATTGAGGACATTGAGGACTGAATGCAACTAGCATGTTGTTGTTCGAATAATATTATTATACAGACTGTACTCCGGGTCTATAAGTATACTATAGGTGATCTATAAGTACGACCCTAGGTCCATCATTTAAGGATTGATGCACTTTGGTTGACGGAGATGCGGGTGCGAAAAGGGAACATAAATATTTGTCAATGCTCTTCAGCCCCTGGTATCATGCAGGCCCCTAGCAAGCTTCAGCCAGGTGTGTTATATATTTGATTTCTAAAGGGTGAGTACAACAAGGCCAAACATGCTGCCGCATTTCAGGTGAACGCATAAAGGATAAGAGGACGTCTATTCATATTATTTCACTGTTACTCCAGGTGCATGCTATAGCAAGAAATGTTGATCGAAAAAATAGTGAATGATAGTGAATGTTTCTCCTCAAAAAACAGTGCTATAATGTGCTATAGCAAGAGCTCAGGTCGCTGAAGCTACCTTTCGTGATTGACCATCTCCACATGTGACCGGACATTTTCCGGGCTCAATCCCCCTCGGCCAGGCCGCTATGTGTAATCGAGGAGGGCCTCAATTGGCAGCGGAGACTCGATGAGAGAGGCCCGCGGGCAAGACCAGTCCTCTGGTTGACCCAGTCCTCTGGGCTGACTCAAGACCATTGACAAAATGGTCGACCTGGTATGACCTGGTATGACCTGGTGTTGCAGACCTGGTACTTCCTTAAAACCATGGTATGACCTGGGATGACCGGACTAGACCCGACTATAAATCAATGGTGGGCCAGGAAGCCTAGGGAGTTGAGAGAAGGGCAGTGGACGAAAGGTTGGCCAGCAGCAGCAGCAGCAGCAGGCTTAAGTTGGAGCTAACTGAACTGGTTGCCTGAGGCGACCTTTCATGACAAGGTCACAATAATGCTTGATGCCATCCCATCCACAATCCCAACGGTGCCAGTGGCAGCGCTTAATTACGCCGGCTGGGCCGCTAGACAAGGGGTTCCGCATGTTGTTGTTTGGTTTCTGGGCGGTGCCACGCATCGCCATTGCTTCCTTAGGCCTTTTTGGCGTAGAGTGGTGAACTCGGCCGTTCAGTACATGCTAGATCTCGAGAAGACCTGGAATAGACATCTGTGACATCAGGTAATATCAGGCATACGATCAACACCCAAACCCCCCTTTGGGGGGACCTTGCCACTTTTGCCTTTTAAACCTTAATCCCTTCAAGAACCTCTAGGAGGACTCACCTCATGGGTCTCCCTCTGATGGTCTTGGAGTCTTCAGCAGGTTCTCGTCCTTCACCCATCACATCGACGACGAGGTCCTAAGTGAGCCCCTTCCTTTGACCCCTTTGAGAGACAAACACCGTGTTCAACATGCTTGCTCTTCACCACCCTTGTCGACGGCCAGCCGAGGCCGAGCGAGGCCTGTCCAGCCAGCCTCCAGCCTCTCTCAGCCTTCGAGCCCGAAATCGCCCAGCGACTTCATCCCAGCGGAGGTCATCTCTGCGAAAAGGCCCACGCCAGCAGAGAGGTCCTCAGGTGACGAAAGGCGGTTTCGGTGTGCCGAAAACGAAGAAATGTCCTCCAACAAGTCTTGAGTCGCCTAAAAAACATCAATGATGTGAGTCTATAAAGGTGCTGAGTCTCGAGTCCAACAAATATTGAAAGAATCCCAGATGGATAAATCCTCGTAAATCCTATAGGAGGGATAAGTCTCAAGTAGTTAAATATCACGCATTTGGTGTTCTCCGATCGTGGACGCCGGATGCTGGAGCCCTTCAGATCGAGGAGATGAGCCCCGGTGCACCGGCTTGGTGCAGCTCCGCCGCTCTCGGCATCCGAGGAGCATTAGCTTTGACGCAACCGTCCATCAACGTGTTGTAGACGAGCTCGTCGCATTGCATGCCACATGCCTCGTCCCATTGGGCCCCGGCCACGATCTGAAGACACTCATGGATACTCCCATGGATCTGTAGGACTCCTATATTTATTGTCATAAATGAGATGTGATATAGAAAGCAAAAAGAAACACATATGAACTGCATGCAAATGATATCACATGCTATTCTTTAGCAGGTGTTCAACTAACTATCATCAACTATCCAGTTCTTTTTTTCTCAAAAACAAACACATGCAACTCCCAAGGGCCCCAAACCGCCTGGATTCCCTCCGCCTGCCTTGATGGTGGCAGCTACTTGAAGAGCTTTGTCTAGTTCACCGACTTGGCAGTATCCTGCAACGCCACAACCGGACCCCCGGGTAGTAGCGTGCGGCGTGCGCATGCGTGGGCGAGCGATGGGATGGAGGAACGGTGCCAGGTTCCTGGCCAGTCGAGAACCGATGTCTTCACCTGAACCAGTGGTTGCAAGTCCCGCCCTCAAGGCGCTTCAGGCAAAAGGCTTCATCTCGCCACTGCTCAGAATGCACACCCACTCACCCACTCGCTTCTGAGGCTTCAGACTTGGCTAACTGCATCACTTCTCCCACATCTGCAAGCGATCCCCACAAAAAAACTTCGAACCAAAGTGGTAACCACAGGACCGACACAGGACCAGCATGGACCAGCGATCGAAGTCACCTCTGATTTGGAGAGAGATCGCTATCGAGCTGATTCAGGGTCCTTTCAACAAGGTGGAATAGGTGATGAGATCAGGCTGAACCTGAGCAAAAGCAAAGGACGGAAGAATGTCAAGCACAATTAGGAGGAAAATGACGTGGGCAACACCAATTAGTAGGGGATGTATATAGTGGTCAAGCCCAATCAGGCGCTGTTTTAGCGATAATGATGGTTGGAGCTTTATGCACTAGTCTGAACCCAAACTTCCTCCCCCTTCTCCGATGGTGAGGGGCTTGGGTGGCGTGCACACCAAGTCAGTAGTGTGAGTGTGTGTGTGTGTTTACTATGCTAAACCTATCGGGGTGGTACGTCTCCGTCACAATACGCACGCCTTTTGAATCCTCTCCCACTCTCAATCGCTTCTTTGGGTGGGGGGCCTGGAGATTCCGGCCAAATCCGGCGCAGCTTGGGGTCAGGACAGCTGTAGCTGGCTTGGAAACCGGTCGAAAGCTACCCCAGCATGTGTAAAACAAGCTACCTCTACCTCAGAGTCAAGAGTAAACTCCCACCTCCAGGACTCATATGCACACCAAGAACCACGTAAAGCTGAGTTGGCCAATCCTACTACAGGTGAAGATGCAATCCTCAAACCGACTGGAAGGTGAGGTGGTAAAGAACTCCGATGAAAATGGGTTTTCATGGAGATCGGTTGCCAAGCAAAGGTCCATGTTCCACAAAGGTCCATTCTCCCACATCCTCCAATTGGGCTCCGAAACAGCATCAAGTGTGCAGGGTGCATGCTCTTTCATCTGTTCATCAGTCATACATCGTCGAGTCATACTAAAAAGAACCCTCTCATGTCCATCCTGCCAGCCACAACACGTCCTCATCCCGCAGAACTTCTACCCAGGTGCCGTGCTGGTGTCTGACATCATCTCCTGGAAAAACTCCTCCGCCCTGCTCACCTCCGAACACTTGATGCACACGTCCTCAGCGAGCTACATCGCAACCCACTGTTGGCGGGCATGGCGAGTAAGGGGATTTCAAGACACACATGTCACATGTCACAAAACTTTTGTAGGAGACCCATTGCCAAAGGTTAAGAATGCTTCATTGTACTCATCGGTCATGAGATGAAATGTTCTGAACAATCAAGGTACTCTGAACATGTCTTCAAGTCAGTTCTAGTTTGAATCTCCTCGCCCTGCTGGCCCCAAGAAGAGCGCACCAGAGCGGTGTCGGGGAGTGCACAAACGCTGTATAATTCAGAAATCCTCAACAACAACAAAATGTTTTGTTTCAATCAACTGGGCTGGGAGATCCTAAATCCTTCTGCCTGAAAATCCAATCTACTGTCTTGGACCCTGGGGCATTCAGGAAAAACACCTCCTTGCAGCACTTAGTCGTCGAACATGAAATCGACCCCGCGGAATTGGTGGAACCCAGGCGTCGATGATGGAGTTGTAGGCGATGGTGTTGTACGGTACACCTGGCTCCAATCCACAGCCGTTCCGCCGATCCACGACCGGTGCCGGGTGTTCGCAAAAACGCGGACGATAAGGCGGAATCCAACGGGGAAACGTGATTCACTGAAACCTGCGGACGCGCAACTTTGCGGAGAGAGGCAAGGAGTCTCGTCTTTTCAAATAAAAAAACACCGATCCATCCATGTGGAAAATCCGGTTGAACAGTGGGTTGGAGCTTGGAGGGCCCTGCGAGTTTTGCTCCCAAAGAAACGGTCCAGTGCTCTTTCGCCCCAGGCTGCACAATCGCGAATAACTCAGCATCCTGGCAGAAGACCCCGCACAGTGGGTCTGGAGATCTAAAGTCTAGAGGTGTAGACGCAGAAGGATTAATTAGAGATCTAGACGTATTGGGGTCCAGAGAAATCTAGAAGTCTAGAGGTCTAGAGGCTTAGAAAGATCTAAGCGTCTAGACATCCAGAGAGTTAGGAAAAATATGCGCACGGCACCCCCAAGTTTGGAAAAATATGCGCACGGCACCACAACGAGAGCGCAGTATGGGAAAGCACCCCAGCAGTTTCTACGAGCCTGCGCAGTTGAAATGCACTTGGAAGATCTCGAGGTGAATGAATATATACATTGTAAATAGCAGCGAATCAGCGGCCGACAGATGCGAGCACCAGTGATCAGGCACCCGGCCTTAACCCTTACTGTAAGAACCCCTTGTGTGACCACACTGTTTGGGGAATAGATGGGATCGGTCTCAATCTTGCGCAACAATTGTCATGACGGCCCTCACTGACTTTCCACATCCGGTACGTCCGATCGCCGACCGACCCGACAAATGCCGGTCCCAATGGGGACCGTCGACCGGGGGCGCCTTCGTTTCTCATCTCTCGGAACAACATGATCGCAGTGCTGAGGTCCTTTTCATTTCCGTAGCCCTTGATCCTCGGACCAACTGTTGCCATGTTGCCCGCTTTTCACGGTGCACCTCGTGGTGGTGTGGGGGGTGTACAAGGCATGGAGCTGCAGGTTTTCAAGGCATGGACATGGATGGCCCAAGGATCAGATACTGGTGGAAGAGTCGCCGGTGTGTTTCTGGAGTGTCAACGGTGTGTGTTTCCGAGCCTAGGAGGGGTTGGAAGGAAAACAAACCGTTTCGGCATGGTCAATGATTTCCACTCCCCTACAGTGGAATGAAAGGAAGTCCATGACCTCTGTAACTTGCTGTCAAGTGTCCGTTGTGTGGGAAGACCCTCTTTCACCGTCGTCAGCTCTTGAACATCAAACGTTTCTTGCATCCTCCGTCCCGTGTCCAATCCCTTTCCTAAGACTCCCCACCTTAAGTTTGGTCCATTTGTTCATCCTTGGAAAACATGGACATGATATGTCTTCTTGACTGGTACCTAGCAAACCAGGCACAAGTCCTACGGAAAGCCAACCTTGTGGGGAGCAGTCTCCCGTTTGCTTTCGCTGAAACCAACCAACCAAGCAAGCAAGCAAGCAACCAACCAGCCAACCAAGCATCAATGTTGTGTAGAGGATGGTGTTGCACTGCTTGTGCCGTTTTTGCATGTCACGAAAGATCTGCAATGCCTTCTCCTTAGGAGATGCGGATCATCCGACACAGAGGGCGTCCTGGGCCCGCACGACTCCTTCCTTTCCTCGACTCGTCGACTCCTCGTGTTCATCCTCGTGTCATCCTCGTAGACTCACGTGGATGGTTTTTGTTGTAAGCTACGATCTTTAAGGATCCCCAGGTGGAGAGAAAGAGAACAGACACTTCACAACTATAGAGCAACTAAGTTCCACCTCCTATTGCTTGGTGGATCACTTGATCTGATCGTGTCAAAACGGGGCATGGTCACTGGCACGGTAGTAAAGGCACTACTGGAAGGTCACGGACCTTGAAACATGGACCGGAACACAGACTCAGCACAAAGCAACCAAAACACGGAAGTCGGCATCATTTGTTTGTACAGCCGTGGGCCGGTCACACGAACCAGGTGGATTAGACCTCAGAAAAGTAGAAGATGCAAAGCAAAGAAAACAACATAGATAAGAATAGAACATGTATGTCTATTTGCAGAATCTCAACTTCAAGTTATCTTGATTTTGTCACGGGTAGAAAAGCATGCAAGGACTATATGTAGGAGAGCCAACCCCACCCGAGGAGAAGCCATCATAGCCATGGCTACAGGGCCATTGAACCTAGTAACCTATCCCAAACTAACAGAACATGTAGCATTATGTCCCAGAACTTGACTATTTCTCACCATCTCATCTAAATTACCATGAAAACAATAAAATTGGTACTGTAATTAGTAACCCTCAATCAAACCAAACCACTAGCCAAAATTATTCATATCTCCAAAAAGTTCCGCTAGTGATTCCATATTGATGCTTCTATTCCAATCATCCCCATGTCCGCCCAGATTGGAAGGCTTCACCCCGGCCATGTCCGCCAATCCCTCTCGTAGCCATTGGACGTCAACAATGAAGCCGTGGGGCCGTCTGGCTGCACTTCACGCATGCATTGATCATACAGCCATAAGTCACTGCGTTCGCTTGTTCCTCACAAGGAAGGCCCAGGTTTTTGTACGGATTGAGGTCAGATTCTGAGCCCACTCGCTTTCGAAGGACTGCATGGACCGGGCAGAATGGTAAATTCCATTGCCTATGGAAAGATAACCCATGGAAATATAAACTTGGACTTAAATTGAAATACTGTAGATCGCAAAAAGGCAAATGAGAAAACTTTTATGACAAAGGGTTCCGAGTCTTGTAAAACGAAGTGTCTGACAAAACGGTTCCCACAACGAACGACTTCACAGACGCTCCATGGGACTGGCATATATACCAACATTGGGGTGGTTGAAAAGGGGTCAATGCATGTACTGTATAACAATCGGAATGTACTTTGGCGGCTCAATTCCGTATGCTATGTACTTAAGGACGGTTATAAACATATGCCAGTCCCATGGAGTGTTTGGGTTTATGCTTGCCAGGGCTCCCTTTGATCTTTCATCTCGTCCTAAGACGGCACTTTCTTTGAGCAGCGAAAAACGAGCGCTGCTTCGCTCTTCGTTTCACGGAGCATGGTGGTTTCCCTCGGCGTCTGATGTGTATTTTTTGAGCACGTCGGAGAGCCCACCCTAAACCCTATCCGCCCCTATCTCTTTGTCACTTCTGGCAGCTTTGCCAAAAAAAAGTCCAAGATGGTCCAGGTATGCTTGATGCTTTCTTGCAAAAGAAAATATCTGTGAATCAGCAAAACATTTACTATCTAATAGTGCAAAAAAACAAAAGCCATGCTGAGATGTCCATACAACGATTATTTTTGCCACATAATACGTGTATGAATATATATATATATACACAGGGCTAGCTATATTGCCAAGGTAAACATCGCTTTAGCCAACCCCAAAGAGAAGAGGAAACAATGAGGGAGAAGCGCCCTTTTTCTGCGCGATTCGGGCTGCAAACTCAGCAATTCAAAGCCCGGCCTCAGCAGTTGTAAGGTCGGACGCGGCAAAGCGAAAAGCAACGCAGTTACAAAGAGGACCCCAAAATTATTTAGACAGCGCTGGCCCACTGAGCCGCGCCATCATCCGTCGCTCTTAGGTTGGAGGGCATCACTCTTAGGTTGCAGGCCATTGCTAGTAGGTTGGAGGCCATCACCAGCAAGTTGGATGCCATCGCTCTTAGGTTGGAGGCCATCACTCTTATAGGTTGGAGGCCATCATCGCTAGTAGGTTGGACGCCGTCGCTCTTAGGTTGGAGGCCATCACTCCTATGCATTGGAGGCCATCGCTAGTAGGTTGGAGGCCATGGCTAATAAGTTGGATGCCCTCGCTCATAGGTTGGAAGCCATTGCTCGTAGGTTGGAGGCCATGGCTAGTAGGTTGGAGATGGTTGGAGGCCATCGCTATAGTAAGTTGGATGCCCTCGCCCATAGGTTGGGGGCCTGCTCGTAGGTTGGAGACCATCGCCATCGCTAGTAGGTTGGAGGAGGCCATCGCTCTTAGGTTGGAGGCCATCGCGCTTGTTATGTTGGAGGCCATCGCAACAACAAGCCAAGGTTTTGTGAGCTCCTCACGCATCCTGCGCCATTCGGCGGCTTCCGGGCTGTGCAACCACTCTGACAAATTTGGGGTCTTCGACCACTTCGACCTGGGCGCCGGCTTCCTGTCTTTTTGGAAAAGAGGCAGGGGGGCCAGGCGGCCGCCAGAGCGCATCGCCGCATTCAGGGCGTCAATTGTGCCCTGCGAGGATTGCAGTGGCTGGTGCAAGGCCCTCTCCTCGGCTCTGCTCTCTTCCAAGGTCAACCTGCAGACCCTCAAAGTCATATCCGTTGCCACCGGGTTCCGGCACGTGGCTGCCCTGCTGCAGCTGGAGCGGGTGCAACACCGGCTTGGGCATGGCACTCTCCTAGTAGCAATGCCCTTTGCTACTAGTAGCGTTCTTGTTTGGGTGGTTGCAAGTCAGTTGTGCTAGTTGCGTTCGGCCTGCCAGTTGCTCATGTTGTTTCAATGTTTCTGTGTCCAACGCCATTTTGTTTGGTGACATGTTGGCTGCACAGCTTCTTGCGCACATAGCTCGAGGCTCACGCCGGCAACCGCTAGGAGTCCCGAGCACGAACCGCTGAAAACACCGGTGGTGCTGCAGCCACTTGGCATAGACTTGTGGACTTAAATGGGTTGCGGCCACAGCAACATCCAGTAAGTCTCATAGAAATTGTTCGTAAGTACCGAGGGCAACTCATGCGAGCTACGGCTTTTGGGGCCACCTGGACAGGTTCAACCGTGGATGGATGGCTTGGGAATGGATGTTCTTCAGGTTCTCTTTGCGACGCAGGCAACACTTCCAAACCGACCCACAGTGGGCCAAAACACAACTGCTCGTTACAATACACACCTGCAGCCTAACAAATATATAGCTTAACTTGTCTCATCGGGTTCAACTAATGCATTCCAGTTAAGCACAGTGAAGCTTCTTCCAAACCGACCGCACACCTCCTCCGCCCTCCGTCCCACCAAGCTACAGGAGGTGGCAGTGATAGTTAGATCACCTCCAAACTGACGTTTGAGTCAAGTAACGGAGCTGGGCAACTCAGAAGGGTTCTCTTGCAAGCAGAACAGGTTGGAGCAACACCGTTGTGTTCGGCGCTCACTGACGACTCATAGCATTCTCTCTCGAAGCATCGAAGCATCGGAATACTGCCGGGATTCCCCACCGGTGTGGCAAAAAGGCATTGCTCCGCAACATCGTTCCGCAAAGGCGAGCTCAAAGTAAAAGCTTCCATGTGATATGTCAATATGCATACACTGCCTGCTAGGAAAGGCTGTGCTGGAACCCCCCCTTGGGGGGAGAAAGGAACATATTGTGTTGCTAAATATTTGATATTACGCAGAGCTGTATCTGTGTCAATAAATGTTGAATTGAAGGCGCGGTATCGAGTTCCAACTGCATATGAGAACATGGTAAAAGGTGATGTTTACTTTTCTTTGAAGCGGAAAAATAGTGAGCCCTGTATTATATATTATAGACAGTATATACTGTATAGCTCCACTCTCCAAGTCTGGGCTCCCATGTCCAAACTCGACGTCGTTCGTGATCTGAGTCTGAATGGAGTCAGACTGCCCACAGGACAGAACGAACCTAACGAACCTAATGGATTCTATCGGACCAAACGATTTTCGGACTGCCCAACCCACACGACGTGTCTCGCAACACCATCCAGGTTGAGTCTCAGAAGACCCTGAAAGAATGTTTCTCTACCAGCATCCGACTCTAGGGGTCTCCTCTAAGTAGCGTTTTTGGACACTTCAAGGTGGCAAGAATGATGACCTGGCAGTGCAGGCTGCAGGTATAGACCGGTAGAATGTGGGGTGCTCTATCTAGTGTGCTCCGCGCTGCTCCAAGCTGCCCAAAGCTGCAAAACCTTTTTGATGTCGCAGACCTGAGTCGTTTTGGTTTCGCTCCGGTCAGTCCCTAGAGTTGCCCAGTTCGGAGTTGCGTCTGGGGGGAAGCCGTGAAGGTCGGTTCCGAAATGGAACCGTTCATCGCTTCCGGCGTCTCAGTTTTGAGACCAAACTGATGTTGAAGCATGTACCGTGTTTCTGTGGAACAAAAACAACAACTAAGGACCCGCAGAAACTAGGCAATTCTGTGGATGAATTCAAGTTGCCCAAATTGCCTTGTAGAGATCTCTCCGGTACTGAACTCTTTTGTGCGCTGATCATGCGCCACATGTCATGAGTGAAGAAGAGTGAACAGTTGTAGCAATCCAACTGGACCCAGCACCATGCCTTCGTCAGGTGTCCAAATGAACCTTAGCCACCCCAAGTCATGGCTTCCTTTTCACGCCACCGGTCGCACCATGACGTCGAGTGCGCTCACATGACCTCGATCCCTCGAGCCATGGCACTTGGCCGTAGGCCTTGACGAGAATGCCCAGGGTCACGTGAGACGCTTCCTCGGCGTTCGCGGTCGTCCGCGGTGCTCATCGGTGCAGGTGACGGAAACCCAATGTATATACCCGAGTTGAAGCGGGAGATCAAAGGACTGATGGCAATGATCGTTTGACTGTAATTAGACTGTAATTATACTTATTGTATCGTATTCTCTTGGTTTGGGAGACTCCAGAGTTAGAAACTTGTGATCTGTTGGAGGTTACTGGTAATGTTGAGCCAGCTTTGATGATCAACTCCTTGAAGTTAAGGGGTATGATCAAAGCATGGCTTTCCAAACAAAACCATGGGACTGGACTTGACTTCTCAGTTTGAGTGGCTCGTCCTGGCCTGTTTTACTGGTTCTGAATGGTACAATTCATATATAAGCCACTATAGTCACTAGTCACTGACACCTCCCATGTCCGGAGAGGTCGACACGTCCGACCCATCAAGGGCCTACAACGAGCACACAGAGGTCTTCAGGTCACTCACCAGGTCTTGCATAGACCAGGTCACGCCGATCCAGAGCCACACCGAGAAGTGAACATGCACTTTAAAACCCCTTTGGGCCAGCAGCCCTGAAGCCATCTGGGGGAAGAAAAAAATAACACCAAACCGGGTGAGAAACTCTCAACATCTCAAAGCAAGTACATAGACATATACTGGTCATGGGAGTCGTGTCAACTTGAACGAGTGATGTGGTGTCCTGCTCAGGAGTTCCATGGGACCTGGGACCATAAGTGATCAGACCGTCTGGTGAGTGGATGTCCTCATCCTCCTCACCCCAAAACACCCCAAGCATCACCCCCAAAACCGAAACTCCGTAGAAAAAGCTCGCCACTGGGCTGCGCGGTGTTCCGCCCCGTTTTCGGTGAGACATGGGGAGACCCACATGCCGCTCACATGGCGAGACGCTCCGTTGGTTTCGGCGAACGATCCGCAGGTGCCACCAAGGTGCAACGCCCAAATCCTTCATACCTCGGCACGCTCGAGGGGGCGGGTAGAGGACGCTACGTTTGGGGGCTCCTGGCATCGCTGCGAACGGAGCGATCGGACGCTACGTTCGGGGCTCTCCTGGCCGTACTAGGAACAAGAAGGCTACGAACGGAGCTTTATGGTCTTTAGAGAGAAAGCAGTCCGCTTGCAGCTTAGCTCTCTAGATCCGGTGCCCATGACAGTGGGGGAGCAACAATGACAGTGGTGATGAATTTGGGCGAATTTCTCAAAAAGGGCGGCGAATCCGACAACCATCAACAACCATGAACTGGTGTACAGCCCCTGCAAAACAACCAGTTCGGGTGTCCTGTCCGGCGATCCTTAAGCTAAGCCTTGCTGTAAGGCACTCCAGACAGGACACCAGATGGGGCTGATGATCTGGTTCCAGAGAATTCCAACATATTCCAACCCCCCCCAAACCCTGAGGTTTCGCAGTGGCATCCACTTCGCGCAAATCACACTCCCACTGATGAACATCGGTGAAGTCTCAAAGAGGGTCCGGTGAATGTGGTATGTCAGAAGACTTGGAGGTTGAGGTACACTGATTTACCAAAATGCAATAACATCGAGAGATAGATGCTGCATGCTGCATGTTCATCTCCACAACGTCTGCTGATAAGAAAGGAACACTGTAAAAGTTGACAAAAAAGGTCCAAACTATCCAAACTTCCCCAAATACCTTCCGTAGAAGGAATAACAAACACCTGTAACTACAATCGCACCTCACCTCACTTGTGTCACCTCTGTTCATGGTTGGCTGTCTTTGACCGCCCAAAAAAGGAACTCGTAGGCAAGCGGCAACTGATGGTTCCACAAACATCCTTCAACCGTTTACCCGCAAGAAACCACTCTTCATGAAAACCAGTCCCCTAGTCAAAGTTCTTGTATATAGTCACTACATGTCAGTACGTATCCCATATTGAGATCTTCTCGCATCTTACGTAAAAACAACAGGACCCGACACCCGCCACCTGAAGATGACCCGGATCTTGCCGTGACGCGTTGATACGTGCTCTCCAACCGAGCGATGTCTTTGCTCCGCGAGTGCGTGTCCAACCTGACCGCCGACGCCGACGACGACTGCCCGACTGCCCGACTGCCCGCGCTCGCGCACAATGGCGCGGCTGATGATGGCTGATGATGGCTGATGGGTCCATCCAGGACTTGACTTTTGAAATGCCGGACATAATTCATGACCAACTTTGAGGCAAAGACATCAGCATCCTGTCTTGGATGTGCTGTCTGGAGTACCCCACAGTAAAGACTTCGGGATTGCTGTTGGACACCCAAACATGGTCTGTCCGGAAGTGAATCTCTTTGGATCGATCTAGCAGTCTTTGGAATGCCGCAGCTTGTTCAGCTTGTTTCTTTGCGTTCTTCTGCATCGATGCAGCATATCCATGGCCACACCACTGGCCACACCCCCCAAAAAACCAAGACATATCCATTGCATATGGAGTTATTGGGCTTCCACCGCGATCTCCGGTCGCTCCAGGCTTCGCTCCGGCAGACCGAGGCACATCGCGTTGAAGAGCACCTCATCCGCCTCGCCAGGCTGTTGCCTGAGTCGGTGGGGAGTATCGGAGGGGCTCGGCTGCATGGAAGACATGGAAGACATGCTGGTCCTGGTTGATTCATATTATGTTCATTGATGGAAAGGTCCTTTTATTGTGTAAAACCCCTCCTTAGGAACCTACAAAGATCAACTCGGCCGCTAGCTACAAATAAGAGTAACAACGAGGACCATGTGGTTTCATGTGGTTTTCTGAGCAAAGTCTTGAAACTTGGACAACCACCCATGGAGAGTATGGCGCACCCAACAATCCTGTTTGCGCAGTCTACGCCAATTCATGGACATTCTTCGCCATACCTTTTGAACATTCAAATATCGCTCGGAATCTTCTGTTTTAGGTCATGTCCCATTGTCTAATAGTTGAAGAGCCCCAAACATAGTAAAATCAAACACCATCAAACAACAATACAACCCATTAGCTGGAGATATTCTCTCCTTGGCTTTCACCCTCTTCCAGTGAAGAAAATAAGTCTCTGGTCCCACCATGGAAACCCACGCCATGGCCGCCAACTCCGGGTCCAAAAAGCTGAATGAACTGCTCCACTAAGGCGATACTGCGGTTGATCTTTACCTCGGCACCAATCGAGGTCCAACGTGGACGAGGTAGAGGACAAAGACAAACGGATGGACTGTGGGGGTGAGTTCGGGTGTGAAGAAGCCCTATCCCAGACGCTCCATGTATTATATGCCTACATTGACCACCACCCCAATGTATGCAAATATGGCATACATGGAGTGTCTGGGTATGGCCAGGACCCACAAAAAAATACCCTCTGAGAAGGTGATTGGAGACACATGTACGGGTCCAGGTACCTTCTGAGAAGGTATGTGGATCCCTACAGAAAGGGTGTCCAATAAATGATATACTATCACACTATTGGGAACGCTGACCGGGGATGACCAGTCGTCACTTATACTACTGTAGTTGTTTGCTCAAACGGATTGAACATGATTGAACTAATCCGTGTCTCTCTTGCTCATTTTCTACTCCGCCACTTCCAAAAACCAACTCATACTCAACCACCACTGATCATACTGCTCGCCTGATCCCACCCCGCTCGCACCAACCGGGCGGCCGGATCCCAGGTTCGCCGGCCGTCGGCCAGCGTGCGCATGAGCATCCGGCTGACCGTAAAGCGGTCCGAAGGTAACGACGCCCGCATCATCTCCTGGGGGTTCAACGGGCCGAAGCACCGGCTGCGACTGCACCTCGCCACCCAGCCAGCCCGGAAATGCGAAGCACCGGCTGCCAAAACCCAGGTGTTTCTGAAAACCCGATGCCGTGACTTTGGTGGAATGTGCATGAATGTGGTGGATCTTGAGAATGAGAAGTGGACATGATGAGGTGGTGGACTCCTTTTGTGACTGCACCCTTGAGGAAGTCGAGCTCTAGAGCTGACGAAGTCACGGTCCGAGATCTTTTTCCGCCTCGTTGCCACCAAGCCATCCCAGAAGTTTTCTTGGTCATCCAAGTCAGGACGGTCGTTGCACCATTTCACACTGATCTCGAAGATCTTTTGCACGATGCTTTGCTTCCTGCCACCTGCCACATAGCAAAAGCCTGTGTTGCCTTTGATAGGTTCCTGATGATACACTTCTGGTTTCAAATTCTGAATCTTCTGGTTTCCAGGCTCTATCTTTCGACTATAGATGTATTCGTATTTCCTGGAGCGAATCATGCTTCCCAGGCTCAATGATGGCAGAAATGGATCACTCTTGAAAACATTGTCGGCATCTGAGAAAACAATGTCCAGGTTTGTGTTCCTCAACACATCCAAAACAGATCGCAGCTTGTTGC